TTTTTTTTTTTTTACCTTTAGTTAGGATAGTTTGAACTTCAAAGCTCTTACCATTTGTCTGGTTTTTGTGCAGGATGCCACTGCAAATGATATCCCACGGGACATTTTTGAGGTGAAAGGTTATCCAACATTGTACTTCAGGTCGTCGACTGGGAATACTGTTCGATACGAAGGAAATAGGACCAAAGAAGATTTTATTGATTTTATTAACAAGAACTGAGCTACTCTCACCAAACAGGAGTCACGTAAGGAGGAACTCTAGAGAAGGTAATATAATTCCCATATATACATATATACCTCACAGCATATTTCTTGAATTTAAGTAGAGGAAGTCATTCATACTTTAGCCCTTCTGAATATGAACTGGATGTAAAGATAATTACAAGAACTATCGGTGAGGTTTGTCTTAATTACAATAAAATAAATTTCGTTCCAAAATTGCACTCCTTTTAGGTCTTTATTTACTAGAAATACCCCTTATTTGAGGTTCCCATTTCTGAAATATCAAGAAGGAACAAATAAAAAACGAGGGGAAGTTAACAAATTTACTCTTGTATTTTTGGCCAATTACCCAAACCCCAACGGTATTTTTCTGTCAAAGAGATATTTTGCTCTAGTTTCTTGTTTAGAGAGGCTGTTAAAGAGACACCAAATGCAATATTCTACTGGTATAGTAACAAAAAAGCTTGCTGGATTTTGTAATTGTAGTATTCTTTTGTTTTGCAGGTGTGATGACATCATCACTATATCGGGTGAAATATTCGCTCTTGGAAACAATCTGATGGTTTTTCTTTCATCAAGGAAATCCCCTGGTGGAGTGCATCTCCATACATGTTAGCGGCTTTCCCCTCTTGCTTTAATATTATTAGTAGTAAATGAGAAGGAACTAAAGAATGGTAGAGCCATTTTCATATGTTAAATTTTGCATGACCTTCAATAGTGACAGTTTTGTTGCTGTAGAGTAAAAATTCTTGGTTATAATAATCGCGAGATCGAAATAATACCGTTTTTCACGAGCATGATTTTCGCGTTTTGATCTAATTTCGTGACAGGCTTTTCCATGTATGGTGAACTTACTCAGTAAAGCTCTAGTCAAGATGAAATAGTTTAGCTGCAAACTGAATACAATTAAACGAATAAAATTAAAAATCCAAACAATAATCACTAAGAAGGGGAGAGAAAAAACAAGCTGGGGAGGGCAGCACAAGATTATGGAAAAAGTGAACTCGGGCCTTAAAAATATATTGACTTTTGGGCCATTTATGAAAATGGCAGTTGGGCCAACTGTGGAAATAAATATTAATTATCCAATCGTGAAGCCCAATCTAATAATCAAGCCTTACACCCAAATCTACAATCTACATTCAACATTCTACATTACCACATTTCCCACATGAAACAATTTGAACTTGGCCGAAATGCAATGCCAAGAAGCACGACAACTCGTCTTGTTAAAGGTTCGACTCTTTTTACTAAACGAGTCAAATTCAAATATTTTTAAAACACATTTAGTTGACAAACCCAGGCTTGTTAAGCCTCTAGAAGAGGTTTTTTTTACATAGTTCACTATTAAAGCTCGAATTCAACTTGTTATCATTGATAAACCGTTTGAGCTTGTTTTGTGTATTCATTTAACTTGGGCTCGAGGCTACTCAAAGCTTGAGTTCACCACGTTTATGTATCAACTTAATAACATACAAAATAATGTTCAAGAAAACCATAAATACAAACTTTATGCATGTTATAAGAAAAATAAAAATGTTATTTCAAAAAATTCAATTCTCTTTGAGTTTTTAATTTTTTGTTGTAAAAATTTGAGTGGTCAAAATCGTTGGGCGGGGCCGACAACCAACAAGTACCGCTACCAAACCTCTTCTTTTTTTTTTTGGTACAAAGAAGGTAGCCGAAACTTTAGACTACAATATTGTGAGGGTACGAAATTTTTAAATTATCATGTTCTAATCACGGTTTAACTCCCGTGGGTGAGTCGTCAAAGACGTGTAGTCCACTTGGCAATGTCGAGGCCAACAACGCAAGATAGTCTGCTTTACCTTCCCTACAGTTCTTACCAATTTCAACTATAATTGCTGATTGACATCTACCATAAAAGCCCAGACGTTGCTATGCTATTATATCTTCCATTTTCTTCAATACACTTTAATCCTCTTCAAACCCCTGCAATTGGCTATCTTTCTTCTGCTCTTTAGATAAGGCCCTCGAATTTTTAGATGCCAAGGTCAGTATTTTTTCTGATCTGTTTTATCCTCTTACCTTTTATCCTTCCTTTTTGCATTGATAAATTTTCACCCGGATTTAAATTACCTTAAAGGCAAGAATTTTGGGATATTTGTCCCCCTTTGTACACCGCTTGTTGATTCTTGATCAGGTTGATTCATGATAATATTATAAGTTGGATGTGTCTTTTTTTTTTTCATCCTACGTTTGATTGGTTCCAGTTTTTTTCGTCCTGATTTTCTTTGAATTAGTGTTGATCGAGCGAACCCACCTCAAAGACCCGACCTTTTTCCTTAAAATTTTCGTTACCCACATTCGCATTGCTCTGAATTGTCATGTGATTGGCTTTTCCTGGGTGTCGTTTTCTGTTTTTGTTAGAGCCCATGAGCTCATTTTTCACATCCTCCCCTTGTCTTTGCTGGTGCAATTATGTTCATTGTGCTTCATGCTTTTAAAGTTATATGAAACTGCTAATAATTCCCTTCTTTCACTTTTTCAGTTTGTCATAAATGGCCTCAACAATGCTGAACCTGAACTTGGTGAATTTGAATTCTGTTAAAACCACAAAGTATGACTATGTGGGCCTGAAGCCATTGAAAGCGAATCAGAACATTCTATGTATGAGGCCTCATTCAGCCAAAATCACACGGCGTGGCCCGATGATAAGGGCCGATTATCGTGATGGATCAGTAAAGAAGATGGGGATGAGTGACGAGGAGTGTGAGGCTGCAGTTGTTGCAGGGAATATTTTGGAAGCTCCACCGGTGCCCCCCAAGCCATCTCCGCCAGCTGGCACACCGGTCGTGCCCCACCTTGTAAGTACATTTTATAATAGAGTTGAGAATGAGCTGATTATATACTTCAGGTGAAAGATGAAATTGTTCATTTTATAGTCTTTCAAGTTTTGTAGTGTACGCTTTTACATGAATCCACCGTCTGAGAATGTTCAGATTTTGTAACGATTTGTAACGATTATATTATATTATATGTTGTTTGTAACAGCCACTTAATCGGCGGCCACGTCGGAATCGTAGGTCACCGGTGTTAAGGGCTGCATTTCAAGAGACTAATTTAAGTCCATCCAATTTGGTTTATCCACTTTTCATTCATGAAGGTCATTGAACTCCCATTTGATTTCTCCAGAAGTATATCGACTAACATTGTAATGTCTAATTATGGATTTTTGACCGTGTTTAAGCTCTTACGAGATAAATAATATGTTCAGGTGAAGAGAACACCCCGATTGGAGCAATGCCCGGATGTTCTAGGCTTGGGTGGCGACATGGACTTGTGGAAGAGGTATATTGCCTTCTTTCTTACCCTTTTATCCGTTTTTTCTTTCTTTTCTAAAATTTGAGAAAAAAAATGTTGTGCTTTTAACTTTGTGTAATATTTTTTATCTAGTTCAGATTTATCGTCAGTGGCTAATCTAGAAAAAGTTACCTTTTTACTTGAGATTATTTTCATATATTGATCAATGATTATGGTTTGTTTGAACATGTGAATGTGACTATCAATTGGTATGTTTTAAGGTGTCTAAGGCTCGAGATGTTGGTGTCAACAGCATTGTGCTCTTTCCAAAAGTTCCTGATGCTTTAAAGGCGAGTCTTTTTGGCATTTTATTGGATGTTATTTGTTTAGCATGGAAATAAAATTCATCGTTTCCAGTTGTGTTGAGGAGCTGATGACATTTAACTTCATTGATATTCTGGCTAGACTTCTACAGGAGACGAAGCTTACAATGAAAATGGACTGGTGCCTCGAGCAATACGGCTACTGAAAGACAAGTATCCGGATCTCGTATGTTTTTCTTCTCTTTTTTTTTTTTTTTTTATTTAATTGGTCAACTGAAGGTAGCCGTGTTTATTCTAGGCTAATTAGTATTTGTTTTCTTGATTGTTATTTATTGAAATAATATTGCTTGTAGATTATATATACCGATGTTGCTCTTGATCCATATTCCTCTGATGGGCATGATGGCATAGTAAGAGAAGATGGTAAGACGTGCCGATTATGGATTATAGTCGGCACATTATAGCAAACACTAGATTTTTCTGAGATATTTTTCCCCAATATTTCAGCTCTTCTTTGGTTTTCCTTTTTTTTTTTTTTTTTTCGCTTTCTATTTTACACTCAAATTAGCTGTGAAATACATTGCAGGAGTTATTATGAATGATGAAACTGTGCATCAGCTGTGTAAACAAGCAGTTGCTCAGGTAACAATGGAATAAAAAAGTAAAATATTCATCAAACCTTTTAAATAATAAAGTTTATAATTTTTTTATTATTCCTAATGAATTTCCTTTCGTAGGCCCGAGCGGGGGCAGATGTTGTGAGCCCAAGTGACATGATGGATGGTCGTGTAGGAGCTATTCGGTCCGCCCTTGATGCTGAAGGCTTTCAGAACGTCTCGATTATGTCGTATACAGCCAAGTAAAGTATTTTTTTATTTTCCTGGAAATGATAAAAGCATTTATAATAAGCTACATTATTCTCTGCAGTTTTATTATTATTCACTCATATTTCACTCAGTTTTTCAAATTGGATTTCATATTTCAGGTATGCAAGCTCGTTCTACGGTCCCTTCAGAGAAGCATTAGACTCAAATCCACGATTCGGAGACAAAAAAACGTACGTATATGACTTACTGTTTTGCAAAACACAAAATTTCGCTTGAAAAGCTTACGATTTTGCTGAACACAAACTGAAAATGAATAAATAAATAGTTATCAGATGAATCCAGCAAATTACAGAGAAGCCCTTATCGAAACACGTGAGGACGAGTCTGAAGGGGCCGATATTCTTCTGGTATGTGAATTTCATATACTTTCAAGTGTGGAAATAAAATGTTCGCTTTTACAGTAACTTCTTTGGATAATAGGTGAAACCGGGTTTACCTTACTTGGATATAATCAGGCTTTTGCGCGATAATTCACCTTTGCCAATTGCTGCATATCAAGTACGTTCACATTCTTTTGTTTTCCCCTCAAAATCACCTAAAAATTCACAAATGCTTATCGACTCTTTCTATTTTGTGTTGTACTAGGTTTCGGGTGAGTACTCGATGATTAAAGCTGGGGGTGTTTTGAAAATGATCGACGAGGAGCGAGTGATGATGGAGTCGCTGATGTGCCTCAGAAGGGCCGGCGCTGACATCATCCTGTCGTACTTTGCCCTGCAAGCCGCACGATGCTTATGTGGCGAGAAGAGGTGAGAGAATGAATGTGTATGTGTGTGTATCTGCTCAAATTGCAATACATTTTGTTTGCAGAATTTTGGACTGTTATTTTGTACTTCATGCAATGAACAAAAATATTTTTTTTTTTTTCCTCCACTTTTTCATCTCTTTTTTGGTTGTAACTTGTGAATGAACAAAAATAATTTGCTCCTATTTCAAGTGGATTTGGAAATAATTAAAGGTTTGAAAGAATAATTGAGGTGAATGTAAATATACTAAATATGTACTTGTGTAATAATCACATCTAAACTTTTTTTTAAAAAAAAAAAAAATTATAATTTTGTGGTGTTTTGTATCCAATTCTAAATTGCAGTAATTCTGAAATTACTCAAGCAAATATATTTCTCTTTTGTATGATTACAATAAATCTTTGACAGCATAAAACTTAGTACAAACAGCAAGAAAACACAAATCTATTCAGAATTATTGCATTTGCTGGCTTTAATTCTTACCTCATTACTCAGAATTAGAACAAAAAGAAAAAAGAATAAATAAATACTCTCTAAATGCTTCTCTTTTCCTACTGTATCAAAGCACACACAAAACCAAGTGCTTTTTCCCATACCACATTCATTCCTCTTTACAGCAGACCAAAAAAAAAAGCGAGCAAGAACATAAGCAAACACAAAACACGAGTTCTTCATCCTTCTTCGCGAAGCCCGTTGCTCGACAGGATCACTTCGCGCTCGTTTAGGTACCTCTCGGCTATGGCTGCGTGGACAGCTGCCCCCACGGGAAGGGCATTTTCGTCAATCGAGAAATGTGGGGAGTGGGGCGAGTGAACCGAGCCTAAGGTCTCGTTTTTAATACCAATGAAGAAAAAAGCCGAGGGGACAGTCTCCGAGTAGAACGAGAAGTCCTCGGACCCCATAACGGGCTGGACGACCCGAAAGCCCTTGGGCCCCAAAAGGTCGAGGACTGACTGCTTCGCGTGACTGTACATCCGGTCATCGTTGACCAATGGCGGGTAAATCGCGTCTGAGTTCTTGAAGAAGTCCACCGTGGCCGAACATTTGTAGACCTTCGCCTGGGCTATGATCACCTGTGTTTCGCAGGGATTTGCAGAAAATTACACCTTAGGTTTGAGGTCATTGCAGAAAAACCCGAGACTGTTCAGAAGTTGAAAAAAATAGAAAAAACCCCCGAGTTGTGATCTCGTGATCTCTCAATCGCATTAAAATTTATTCGAGCTTTTGCTTGTAAATACACTAAATCTCATGGTGTTGTTTGCGATTTTTCCCTACCAAGAATCCCCCTTTTATCTTGCAAAGATTTGTAGTTTTCTCAAGGTTTCACTTCACATCCTTTTTTAGAAAAAAAATAAAACTAAACTCTACTTAGATTTTGTGATTATTCCAAAATGTGTTGGCCAAACTAACCTCTTCAATCCTTTTGAGAAGTAGATTGAAGCTCGTGTTCGAAAAAGCTCTTATGGTGCCACCAAACTCAACCTTCGATCTCACGTCAAACACATCATCATCATCATTACCATCATCTTCACTGTTCACGAAAGTAACCGAGACCACCTGAGAGGTACAACACAAATACTCTGCTAAAGTACAAGAGGACAATTACAAAAAATAGTTTTCCTGTCTTTTCAAACCCACCTGAGATTCCAAGGGATTAGATTCACGCGAAACAATCCCCTGCAAGCTGATCACGGAAGCCGAGGCAGCCATGATGGGCCTGCG